GAGAGTTCATCCCATTCACATTCACAGTTATGATTACTATCTGTGTCTTTTTCTCCATTCTTTGTCCCTGTTTATGTTTTCTTTCTCCTTTTCCTTTCCCCCTTCACTAGTGTTTTGCTTTTGACCACCACCTCCTTCAGTCCCTCTCCCTTTATTATCCCTTTCCCTTTTCTTCCCCTATACACTTACTTCTTCTTTCCTCCCTTCTATCCCCCCTCCCTATTTTTTCCCCTTTTCCCTCCTACTGCCTATAGGGCAAGTTCGTTTTCTTCTTGAGCCAAATCTGATGAGAGTAAGGTTCAAACAATGCTCACCTCCCCCTCCCTTCTTTCCCTCTGCTGTAATACGATTTTGTGTCTTTTCCTGTAATGTAATTTACCCTTGTCTGCCTCCTTTCTCAGTACATTTTCTAAGATCAGATAATCCACTTACTTGGATCCATTTAACCCACTTGATTAGGTATTTTTTTTTATCATTACATCAAAGTCAACTAATATCCACACCTTTTATGTATGCTCCTTTTGTTTTCCTTTTAGGCAATTGGGGTTAAGTGACTTGCCCAGGGTCACACAGCTAGTAAGTATCAAGTGTTTGGTCTGAGTCTGGATTTGAAGTCAGGTCCTCCTGACTTCAGGGCAGGTACTCTATCCACCAAGCCATGTATACTCCTTTAACGTGGTGTAATAACAATACAGTTCTCAACAGTTGCAAGTGTCATCTTCCCTTGTAGAGATGTAAACAGTCCACCCTTATTAATAACATTTTGTATCTTTCTGTCCCATTTACCTTTTTATGTCTTTCTTGAATCTTACACTTGAAGATCAAATTTTTTGTTGAACCCTGGTCTTTTTATCAGGAAGGTTTGGAAGTCTCCTATTTCACTGAATATCCATCTCCTCCCTTGAAAAATCATGGTCATTTTCACTGGGTAGTTGATCCTTGGCTGCAATCCAAGCTCCTTTGCCTTATGAAATATCATGTTTCATGCCCTGCGGTCTTCTAATGTAGAAGCCGCAAGGTCCTGTGTAATCCTGACTGTGGTTCCATGATATTTAAATTATTTCTTTCTGGCTGCTTGCAGCACCTTCTCTTTCATCTGGTAATTTTGGAATTTTGCTATTATATTCCTTAGTGTCTTCAATTTGGGATCTCCTTCAGGTGGGGAGCGGTGTATTCTTTCTATGGTTATTTTACTTTCTGGTTCTAGGACTTCAGGGCAGTTTTCCTTTATGATTTTCTGAAAGATACTATCCAGGCTCTTTTTTTCATCATGATCTTCAGGTAGTCCAATAATTTTTAAACTGTCTCTCCTGAATCAATTTTCCAGGTCAGCTGTTTTACCAATGAGGTATTTTATGTTTTCATGTGTTTTTTCATTTTTTTGTTTCTGTTTGACTGATTCTTGCTCTCTCATAGAGTCATTAATTTCCATTTGTCCAATCCTAGTTTTTAACAGATTGTTTTCTTCTGTTAGTTTTGTACTTCCTTCTTCAGTTGGCCAATTGTGTTTTTTAGGGACTTATTTTCTTCAGTGTAATTTTTTTCTAATTGGCCAATTGTATTTTTGAAGGACTCTTCTACCTCTCTCATGTGACTTTTAAAATCCTTCTTGAGCTCTTCTAAGGTTTTTTGGGCTTCAGACCAGTTCATATTCCCTTTTGATGTTGCAGATGTGGGTTTGTTGACAATGTTGTCCTCCTCAGAATTTCTGTCTGGATCTCCACTCTTCTCATAATATGAATCTATGGTACTTTTTTTTTTTTACTCATAGTTTCTTTATTCCCTGGCCTTTAAAAAGATTGAGCTCTCCTGCTGGGGGGAACAGAGAGCACTGACTCAAGCTTCTTGTGTTGGGAGTGTAGGTCTTGGTCACTAGCTTTGTGTGCTGGGGCCTCTTATGTTGGTAGGCTGTAGGGTTCTGGCAGCTTATCTCATGTTGGGCTAGAATCAGCAAAGCTGGAACTTTCAGGCAATTCTAGGTTGCCTGCTTTTCCTTTCCTTCAGCTTTCTTCAGCTCCTTTTAGATGGATGCTGCAGGGCGTTTATCTGCCTGGGGCCCCTTGCAGTGATGCCTCCCTCATTTCTGCTAATGCAGTGGGAGATTCCTTTGTGGTAGAGTGCCTAGGTACCTGGTGTTTTTCTGAGCTGGTTTCCACCGGTTCCCACTGCCTTCACTGAGGCACTTAGAGGTCCAGGTGTTGGTGTTTGCCTGTTCTACCACCTGGGCTTCAGGATTTCTTCCTGGTTGACAATTGGAGGCTTCAGGGCTCACCTAGTGTTGGGTTGGAACCAGCAAGGCTGGGACTTTAAGAAGACTTTAGGTTGCTTTCTTCAGCTCCTTTCCCATGAATGTACTTATCTGCCTGGGGCCCCTTGTAGTTCTGCCTCCCTTATTTTTGCTGAGGCACTGGGAGACCAAGCCTGTATGTGCCCCATGTGTCGTTCTTCTAGGACAGCCAGTTGGGAGGGTCACAGTTTAGAAGACTGAACATAAAGAGAGAAATAAACCCTAAGGCATCAAAGGCAAGAAAAGTTGAGGTCATACTCAACTAAGAGACTAAATTAGAAAAAGAAGCTTAGAAAAAGGGGTGTGGCTCTTGATACACTTTAAAATTTGATACCCCAATAGTAAAATTATGTGAAAAATATGAGACGGTAAGTGACTTAGAGGCTAATAAGATGGGCAGGTACAGTTGGGGCGTTATGATATGAATGTAAAAGAAAGATCAGCCTAAATGCAAGGAGGAATGCTCACACTTGAGGTAGGAGGGTGAGTTGGAAGATAGTGGGAGACAGAAGTAGAAAACAATGAAATGATTTGAATTAGGATACTGAAGTCATAATAACATTGACTCTGAGTAGCACATCTGACAACTGACTCGTCCCATGTAGATGTACAGAAGTAGAGGGAGTGATTGCAGAAGTAGCCTCATGAAAACCTCATTAGGGCTAACCATCTCTTTGGTTCTTCCTGCCATATCTCTGCTCAGTTAACCATTGATTTCCTCCCTTGCAAAGGGGAGTTCCCCACCTGGTAGGCCACAGGCCCAGCCATTTTGCTTGTGGATATTATGGAAACATTTGTCATGAGTTGGAAATCCTTGCTCAGACTTTACCCAAGATCAAAACAAGTACGGGAAACTAGACCTAGCAAAACTATGCAAGATCTGTAATTCCCAGACCTAAGCCCGGAAAAACATAGGTGTCATCTTAATGACTTCACACTATTTTCACACATGATGAAAGAGAGTAGGTGGGGAGTCAGTCAAGGGATGAGAGGAAGCAATCTAAAAAATGATCTGTCCAGGACCTTTGCCCTTCCTCAAGCAAAAATGAGAATCATAAGACTCTGAAATCCCTGTCTATTGTGTGAAATGATGGAGTAGGAAGATGCAATCTCCTAATCAGTAGAATAGGACTTAAAAACCTAAGGGAGATGCTTTCAAATAGGCACAGGGTGGAGATACCCTGCCTCAGCTTGGTGCTGCCTATAGATCATGAATCTCTCACCCTGGGGGAAGTCACTGGATCCCATCTCCCACCCCAGCTATGAGGATAAGAAGAGAGTGATTCTACAAGATTTAGAGAATATTGCATTTGAGTGATGGGGGAAACCCTCCCAAACAATACCCCTTTTAGGTCTGGGCCCACCTGAGTTTTTTAAAAACCAGACAAAGAATAGGGCATTTGGATAGCAGCTCTGAAAATTTTTGCCTGCCACAGCCTGTTAGGGGTTCTATGTTATGGGACCATGAAGACAACCAATAGCTACTGGGTCACACCCAATAGCTTAAGAATGATGCAGTGTGTGTTCAGACTTCAAAAATAAGGAAAGGAAAGGTAAGGAGAGGAGAGGGAATGAAGGGAAGGGAAGGAAAGAGAAAGAAAGAGAAAGGAAGGGAAAGGAGAAAGAGAGGAAAAGAAGGAAAGAAAAGAAAAGAAAAGAAAGAAAAGAAAAGAAAAGAAAAGAAAAGAAAAGAAAAGAAAGAAAAGGAAAGAAAAGAAAGAAAAGGAAAGAAAAGAAAAGAAAGAAAGAGAAAGCTATAGAGTAGAATGTGGTCAGGTGATAGGAGGGTTAGGCTTCCTAGCCATTTGATGACCTCATGACCCTCTTAATTTATCCTGGTTGATCCCCAGCCAACAAAGCAAGCCATGCAAAGGGAGAGAGGGCCTTTCCAGAGACTCTAAGCACAAGTTAGAGATGCATTGAGACTGGTTTGGGTATGTTCCTCTAAGCAGAGTGAGACAAGACTAGAATGCCTTATTTGTGCAGAGACAACAGATTTCTACCAAAAGGTCACTAGAAATGTGGTGAGAAAAACCAAAGGAACAGGAAGCCCTAATGATAGGAAGGTCCTAAGCAACTGGGGTAAAGACCTAACAAAGTACCTTCCACAAGAGAAGTGGGACAGACAGTGACAAATCACCTGTGTTTACCATCTGGAGTTTATCCAGGAGTTATAAAATAACCTAACCATCTCACTCCTCTGGGATGTGGGAAATAGAGAAAGTCTGGTACCAGGTATGATTTTATGGTGACCCTGAATATTGAAATGGATGCTGGGCCCTCCTCCAGATACCTCAGGATAAAGAACCAGCTCTGTCATCCCCATTTTGAGGTATAGGGTGACCAGTAATTATACCTTACGTTAGCCAGAGGGAAATGGTAGGCTCAATAGCACGATAGGATCTGGCTACCATGAGCCACAATGCCAAGGGTTAGTGTGTTCCCAAAAGGGACCTCCAAAAAGGAAGAAGAGTCTCTAATACAAGGATGCAATGGGGTTTGGCACCTTGAGTACCACCATTTGATGGCTTCTCCTGACCAGATAGATACTGATTCAGTTTGTCGCTGGTTTCATGAATTTTAGGCCCAAACCAGCCCTCAGTAAGGATTCCCATTTGTGTTACCAACCCAGAATACAAAAAGTCTGGGTGACTCTGGGCACCGTTTGTCTTTTCTCTGATGAGGTGACCTATGAATGTATCCCTTCTTCTAGGCTAACATCACCACATCCATGCATGTAGATGTGGGGTACTTCCTCCATTGAGTGGCAAAAAGTAAAGAACACGAGCAAGAAAGACTGGACAGCAATGATTGGACTAGACAAAGCTTCGAATTCTTCCTTCTGGTGGGAATCCTTTCTGGGATGCTCCAAAGACAATGACTCTACTAGAGGCTCAGGCATATTTTTTCAATGCCTTTGTTTGATACTTTGCTAAGAGTTCCTATAGTTTTATGTTTGTGGGAATGGAGAGCTTTTGGAAAAAATAAAACCCATGCTACACACTTGGAAAGAGTCTTGGTGGCTGCCTAGTATCATTCAAGGTATGGAAGGATACAGCCTGACCAAACCAGGCATCTCCCCCCGATACCCCTCAGGAAGGAGGGGTCAGGTAGACACAGACTTGACTGAGCAATCAATGAGCATGGCTCCTGTGACATGAGAGGAGCTGTACCAACCCCCGGTGTGCATCCTTAATAGCTCACTTGTGATTGGCATCTTCAGAAAGTTTGCTGGGGCTCTGCTTACCCTAGGCTAATGCTTTTGAAAAATGAAATTCTGTTGAAAATGAAGTAGCTGCTGTTACCACCACCCTCATCCCAGAGTATAAAACACTGATACCCCTAAATGCTGTTGCCACTCAGACCCCATCTGGACATATTTTGCCTCTCAGGGACCAAAACAGGGAGCTGAGAAGCCAAGTGGCTGTTGGAGATGATTAGTACATGTGTCCTTGTGTCCTTTCTATGGTTACCACTGGTGGTTCAGATATGATCAATAAACTCTGTAGAATTGGATTTAAGGAATGTTTTTATTCCCTGAAATCTAGGACCATACTAAATTCTACTTCCAGGAAGTGGAAAAGGCTTCTAACCATTTCTTAAGAGTTGGATTTCACAGATCCTCCATTAAGTTACTTGGATGCCTCATTGTGGTGTGGAGGTGACCCTGGATTCTCAAAGGCCATGCCAGTGGAATGCTGACAGTTTCTACCAAGCTAGAAAGGCTTCAAGTATGGGCCTGGCGACAGGCTATGTGTCTTATATCCAAAGACCAGGCCACTAGGCTTGAGGAAGCTCATTACCAAGTTTGGCTATGAGGTAGTAACTTATGTTCCATGCCCAAGAACACGTGTAGATCATCTACTAAGTTCTCTTTGAGTTGAGATCTGGGTTGGAGGAGGGAGTACCCACACTGCCGAAATCACAGAACCTTGATTCAATACTAAGTGATTTCACCAACTTGGAAAATTCCTGGCTTGGATTTGGGAAAGGCAACTGAAGCCCCTCTGCCCCCTTCCATTCTGTTTACTAGATGACCCCTGAAGAAAATGGTAATAATGATAACAATAGTGATAATAGAGATAATTCCAATCTAGGAAAAAACCCTTTCTAGGCAATGTTCATGAAAGAAGCTTATATTTGGGGATGCCCTGTATCGAGACCAATAATCCATTTTTGATGAGGACCTTATCAGAGTTGCTTGATACACATGTCAAGGCATCTTCTAGGGACAGGAAATCAGGATCTGACCAGTTTTCATCACTGATCACTCCAATTCTGGTGCATGCTATCACGATTCTAGAGCAGTACAGACCTTGACCATGGATGGACACAGACACAAGTGACCACCCCTGTGCACCACAATGATTATGTAAGGGGCGAGGACCCAGGACCAAACACCCCAGCTGGACTGCACCTCCCAACTATAACAGGCTTCTGCCCTACACTCTCACTACAAGCTTCATTTATCTCCATCCAGAGGCTCATTTGATCCCAAATGTTCCAGCCCTCCTTCCTAACAAGCTCCCCTAAACATCCTAGAAGTCCCAGGGAAATCAGCCACCTGCCCCTTCCTTAAGCCGTTTGTAGAAACCCTAGGCTTGAGGGAGTATCCTGGGAAAAGTCTCCCACATGCAAACCAAGCCTGTATGTGCCCCATGTGTCATTCTTCTAGGACAGCCGGTTGGGAGGGTCACAATTTAGAAGACTGAACTTGAGAACCTGCAGGTTGGCATGGACCTTCTGTCACTGGGATTCTATGAGACTGTAGCTTTGAAAGTCTTAAAAGAGCTACAATAGAGTTATGTGACCATACAAAAAAACAAGAGCAGAAAAGAAATGTGACTTATAAGGCATGCTTACGATGCACTGCCTCTGCTTTGGACATGCCCTGTTTTCCTGTCTATTTTCTGGAAACTTCCATATTCTCTGCTTATGTCTCCCATTTTATTCTCTGGGTAATATCTAGTGTCTCCTTGCCTATGACATCAGAGATAGAAAACCGACCAGATGATGCCCTGAGCGAGAACCGGCTCCCTCCTTATGAGACCTCTGCCCCTGGAGCTTCCCTGTCACTGGAGGTAATGTTTCCCAAGCTGTCCCACACATCGGCTAGGAGCAGAAGAGAGTCCGCTGGTGCTGAGCCTGAAAGTGGCCTTTTCAAGGCACCAGCACTGATCCCCTTCCTCTTCCTGGTGTGGCCTAAAGTCACACCTTAGGTTCTAGCAACTTTCCTGCTTGTGTTTTCCTCTTGTGGCCCGTCTTCTAAAACTGTCCCAAAGGCAAACAACTTGTACCACTTCCCCAAGGTGTTTCAACTTATTATTTGTTTTAGGCCTTGGACGCTCCCCTGTGTGAGTTAATATGTATCATAATAAAGGCCTATTTACACTTTTCTGGACTGTCTGGTTCTTTTGGGAAACCCCCTCTACATCCCATAATTGTTATCAAGAACACTGAGGAAGCTTGTCCCTTTGAGGACGAAGCAGTGGGGTGAGGAGGCATGAAGGCCAGTGTATGCCCACTCATTATTAAGAGGAAGGTGTGCTTAAGTACAGGCCTTTTCCTTCCCAGTGTGTGTCCTTGAGCTTCACCCACACTGGGTTCACCAGTTCCTGACTGTTGGCCTCCCAGTGGATACTCCATTTTGTCAGGTTTGGATTTCTGCCAGCCCATTCAATTTATTTTAACCTGGCCTGATTCTCATGGCTCCTGGACTCCTTAGAGAAGGCAGAATATGCTGCTCCTGACTCTCTCAGGTTCTAGGTTTATTCCTCATAACTGTTTACCTCCCCTCTTTCCCCATTCCCCACAAAACTACCTGTATTGTTGATGTGAGAGCTAGTTTCTAAACCTCTGGAACATAATTTTATTCCTTCTTTTAGCAGTCTAGGCTAGGTTTGTTGGATGGAAAAAGGAATATAATAAGCCAGCCTCTCATCCTTATAAGGAAGCTATGTCACATTTCTGTAAGCCTCAGTTTCCCCATCTGTAGAATATCCTTTCATCTGCAGCATCTTGGAGAGGGTGAGAGGCCAAATGATGTTACCTGTGCTATCTCTTCTGAGCTCATGAGGGGAAAAATAAGTGATAAATCCAGATAGGGGTGTTTTTTTTCACCCATTGGAGTATATCTTAAGCACCCAGGACAAGGGGGTGGCAGGGTTCTGAAGGCTTGGGAAGGTAAGCTAAGCAGTGAAGGCAAACTGTATGAGCTAAAGAGAATTTTATTTGTGTTTTTTTTTAAAAAGCACTTTGAAAAGACCTAGCAAAGTCAGCTTACTTATAGGCTAAGGACCTGACAAGATAATAGTCCACAGAGTGTCCCTCTCTTTCCCTCAGGCAAATCCTGGCCTTTGAATAGATAACAAAACTTCTTTATGATAACCCTGGGGGCTCATGGCTTATCCAGAAGAGAAACAAAGTAGGACTACCTGGAGTAGTAGATCTGGCAGCTAACTAAATTATCAGTGAAGGGAACTGTGAGTAAGCAGCCCTGTGAGACAAAAGATAATGGAGATGTTTTGTGCAAAGGCAGGCAGGGACAAAAAGAGAAACAAATGTCTCCAAGGTCAGGAGAATGGGCAAATGCAGAGAAGACCCAAGGCTGCTCCCTGTCCAAGAGAAGCTGGAGGCCAGTGCAGAAGCGCTTAATGACTGCATTACTTTACTGCTGGGGAAAGGCAACCTGCTAGACCTTTGGCCTTTGCCTACCTGGAGGCTGTCTGACTAGGCTAGCCTGGCAAATGATATTTTCATGAAGTGAACTGTCTTGCCCAATGGGGGCCTGAGGGACTACAGGATCTTAGTCCACAGGTACTGCTTGGCCCAAGGGCAATTCCTGCTCTCTGGCCCTGAGGGAACTTGCCTATGAGCAGAAAGGACTCCTGGGGAAAAGTCTGTCCCACTCTGCTTATACAGAGGGAGCTAGAAGTGCCCTGTCCAGGGCCACTGACTCTGGAATTGGGGAGAAGAAGCTAGGGGTCCCTATGTCCTTTCTCCTCCCTCGACCATCCCTCCCCCCCAATCTCAGCAGCTCAACAACAAAGCTTGTCAGTCTGGTTCCCCTTTAAAGAAGCTTTGCTTCTCAGTTTCCCCTTCTGTAGAACATCCCCCTCACCCACTAGCTAATTCTCAGTGAGTTTATCTCTTCCAAGTGCCTAAAAAGAAGGAGGCCTAAATCTCAGGGTAGTTATTTAGGGGTTGGTGGGGGAGTGGGCAGATCCTAAGCATTAAGAGTGAGGAAACCTGTTTCAGCCTCAGTTGTTTGAGAAAGAGAAAAAAGTCTGTGGGGTTCTATGAGATCAAGAGTGAGCAATGATGGCTGAAGCGTCTGGGGCTTGAACCCAGATGTCCTAATTCCCAATCCCTTCTCTGATTCTATGCCCTGGTGAACAAAAGTATTTTTCACCATCTTCAGGACAAGCAAGGTTTCATTCTTTCCTGCCTTCTTTGGCTTTCTTTTCCACCTCTGTGTCCCTCCCTCTATTTCTCTCTTCTTGAGTCTCTTCCTCTAAGCATTTCTCCTTCTGTATCTTTCTCTCTCTTTTTCTGTCTTTTCTCCTCCCTCCAAATCCTTTGAGCAGTAGGAAGATCTCAACCTGGGCACTTAGGAGGGAAAATGCTTAGAAAACCCATCCCCTCTTCTTTTCCTCATAATTTCAGGTCAAGAGCCTGACCTCCTGACTACCACCTCCTCTCTTCCCAACCCAACTACAAGGACACAGAGAATCTTTGTAGAACTCTCAGAACTGTCTCACCAACGGCCCCAACTGTCACATAGGTTCTCAGGGGCCTTTCCTCAACCTCTGCCTCTGCTGGCAGACCTTGTTAGTCTCCAGCGGTCCAAACAGTGAATGTCGGTGGTTGAGGAGGAGCTATCCCAACCTTCTCAGGCCCAGGTCCCATATTGACACCCAAGCTGTCCTTTGGGGACCATTCTCTTACACCAAATCCCCCCTACCACCACCATCATTCTCCATTCTACTCTGGGTAGGTCACAGGGGTTGTTCTTAATATATTAGCTGAGACTGATTTAGGAGTCTTCATTCAGAAGTTGGTTGAAATAAAAAAAAAATTAGACATCAAAAAATGTGACACAGGGAGCCAGAGTAGGTGGGGGGGAAAAATTGAGCTTCTGTATTGATCTTTCTAGGCTCTTATCCTTGAGTGTCAAAATGACTTATGAAATAGCTCAATCTTCCCAAGTTCTCAAGGGTTTTAAAATACATATTTCTGACAGGTGGAGGAAGCATGGTATCGGGAAAGGAATGGATCTGGGTTCGAATCCTATCTCTGCTACTCATTATCTGTGTCACTTCTCTATAGGCCTCAGTTTCCCTATCTACAATGTGATAAGTTGGAAATAAATGACTCCTATGTACATACCTCGTAGCTCCAAATCCTTTGATGCTATTAGTGAGGAGCTCTGAATTTTATGTATCTTTATTTCTGACTGGCTTGAAAAATAAAATCCCATCCCCTCTCAGTGCCTCAATTTCCCCCTGCATGAAATATGTAGAATTATCCTTAGACCCTCCCTGCCTCAGATCTATTTGGAGAACTGATTATGCCTATAACAAAAAGCTAATAAGCTCAATTCTTCCCTTCTCACAAAGGCCTGTAAAGCTGAGCTCTTCAGAGACTAGATGAAGGGACAAATGTGTCTGAGAGTATTTCCAAATCCCCACCACATATTTCAGTATGATATTCCTGGCTCTTCTGTTCACATAAGGTCATGAATTTGGCCTCAGGCTCCTTCACTTTCTAGGGTGGATGGGTTCATTAATATGGTTTGTAGCTACACAGAAAGTATGCTCGGGCCTAGCTGTTGGCTTCTGGGACGCTACCTCCGGACACATCTGGAGAAAAGAAGCCCAGTGTCCCTCAAAGTAGCTAAAGCCCATCCCGAGCAGGCCCTGAAGGATGCTGAGCTATTCTCTAGGCAGAGGGCAGCATGACTGAACACCTACTGTGAGAAGGGCGGCCACCAAGAGTCAAGCTACCCGCCAAGGGCAAATGGGCACTTGGCCTTTGGCTCAGGGGATCATTTATCCTTTGTAACAATGTCAGTGAAGGGGCACAGTATGCCGAGGGAAGGGAGCTGCTCTGTGCTGAGCCTCTGGAAACTGGGAGTGATCTAGCATCCTGGGAAATTGCCCTGGCCACTTACTGGAGACCCTCTGTCCCTTCTGCCCTTCTTTCTGGTCCCCTGATTGGGCAGCTTTGCCTCCCAGTTCCTCCATCTGTAGAACATCCCCTCCCCCACCGGCTAACTTAAACATAGGTAGACCGTTTTTGCTGAATCTAAAAAATAAACAGAAATTTTCATAGGATCCTAACTACTATGAAGAGGAAATAGACATTTCTTTCTTTGAAAAAAAAACCACATATTGAAATTGCATTGCTAGTACTGTCTCATTACAATGCCATTTGTAAATCGAGCATCTGACCTGAAAAGTACCAATGTTTAATAAGTAGCAACAGTACTTAGTAATAGCTGATATTTCTGTGGTACCTCTAAGTGTTTTCCTTACCACGACTCTATGAGGTAAGTAGTACTCATATTCTTATCCCTGTTTTGCAGATAAAGAAACTGGGGCTCAGTGAGCTTGTTGGTATTTGATAGATAAGAGATTGATTTTTTTTTCTTTTTTGCTTCTGTGCATTTGGTTTAAATATGAAAGGCAGCAAAAGGTAGACCTTAGACTTATAGAATGTCAGCCGTGGTAGAGACCTTAGAAATGGTCTTGTCCAAATCCCTTGTTTTCAGGAAACTGAGGTCCAGAGTAGGAAAGTGATTTATCCAAGGTCACACGGCTAGCTACACATCTCACTTTCCCCTCCATCTGTCTTATCTATCTTTATTTTGTCAAGAGCTCCCGAGTCCCCCTTTACTTTCCAACCGAAAATAAGCCCATTTCGTGGGGCAGTTAGGTGGCACAGTGCATAAAGCACTGAGCTTGAAGGCAGGAAGATCTGAGTTCAAAACTGACCTCAGACACTTACTATCTAACTGTGTAACCGTGGGCAAGTCATTCAACCTCTGTTTGCCTCAGTTTCCTCAACTGTAAAGTAGGGATAATAACAGCACCAGGGTTGGTGTGAAGGACAAATGAGACAATGTTCGTAAAGCACTTAGCACAGCGCTTGGCACATAGTAGGCGCTATATATATGTTTCTTCCCTCCCCTTCCTTTCTTGGTGACAACAGAATCCACTCTCTTTGTCTCTTAGAACACTTAACTTCCTTTCAAGGCTCAACTCAGGTTTGCTTCTGAAAGGCAGCCTTTGTGCCCCTCCCCCTTAATTATTAATATTCTTACCCTTCTGAAATGATCTTGCATTTGCTTATCTGTGTAAATGTTCTATCTCTCCCAGCAGCCTAGATGTAAACTCTTTAAAAGCAGGGGGGTTTTTTTATTTTGTCTTTGTCTCCTTAGCCTTACACAATGCCTCATACATAACAGGTACTTAATAAACGCTTGTCATTGACTTGACAGCTCAGTTCTTACTCTAGGAGATATGAGACATACTGATGAATATGAAGGACTCCACTTAGGCTAGAGCAAGCAGTACCTATGGGCAGGGATGGAGGAGGGGAGAGAGGGGAGTGTGAGATAAACCTGGAAAAGTCCCTTGAATGCCAGGCTAAGATTTGGACTTATTCCATAGTAGTAGTAATAATAATGATAATAATAATAACAAAAACATTTCTATGGTATTTTAAACTTTGCAAAGCATTTCACTAATGGTATCCATTTGATGTTCACAGCAACCCTGAGAAGTAAGTGCTATTATTATCCCCATTTTACAGGTGAGGAAATTGAGGCAGATAGAGTGTTGAGGGCCGATCTTAAGAGTCTGATATGGGTTTAAGATCCAGGACAGAGTTTGACCTCTGCCCGGGCTTTTACCCAAAGGGCTCAATCATTAAGAAGCATGGCTCTCCAATCTCTCCCTGTTAGGAGGTTCCTGAGACATTCCTTCTCACTCTTTGAACCTTAGATGTACATATTCACTCCTCTAGACAGGCCCGGGAAAAAGCCTTGGAATTTACAACCCTATCTAGGAACTCTGATAAGGAGGAAATGTATGTTATCACATCCTTAGCAGATGTTTTGGGAGTGTCTCACAGGAGGATGCTTTGAAGTTAGGATGGATTTTCTCTATATATCCTGTACCCTCAGATGAATAAACTGAGTCAGTTTTTCTGCTCCGCCTGGCCTACTTCTTCACGTCTTATTTCACGCCTTTCCATTGGGTGTACTATCTGGTTGCGGGCAACAATAGAGATTAAATGACTTGCTCTGGATCACACAGCTAGGAAGTGTCTGAGGCCAGATTTGAACTCAGGTTTCCTGACTTCCAGTCCAGGAGGCAGGGAGAACCATTGAAGGCTTTGGAGCCAAGGGGTGGAGTAATTTGAGTTCTGTATAAGGGAGAGATTAGTCTAGTGGTGGAATGAAGGATGGATGGGAGAAGGGAAAGTCTGAAAGGTGATTCTTGGCCTACTCAGCTTTACCTCACCCGGCCTGCTAAGGGGCAGGAGCAGGTTAGTGGGGAATGACCATATCAGATAACATGAGCAGTTAAAAAATTATGAAAGTGCCTTGTTGCAGTGACTATCCCTCCCCTCCTCCCACCATCTACTCTAGGAGTCATAAGCTTCTAAGAAAAGGGCTTATGCTCTGCGGCCTGAAAGCCAAGGAATGTTAGCCTTCAGTCCAATGGCCAAGGAGAATCATGGGGGCAGGCCAAGGAGGGTGTAGGAGAAGATTATATAAGAGCTCTGCCATCCAGCCGTGAAGCCAGGAATACAGTGACAGCAGAACTCCACCCTGGAAGCCGCAGGGGCTGAGGCAGGGTCAGGGAAGGGGCGTTGCAAGTTGGATCCTGGTTGGACCGGCCCAACTGTGCTGTTTACATCCCCAGTGACTAAGAGCTGAATACAAAAGGTTGCTTTTGTCTTATTCTAACTCCCTTCCAGGGCTGACATTGGCTACTTGGTTTGGAGGAGGTGGAAAGGGATCCCTGGGAGGGGAGGACCAATGTCTCTCTAAAGGCTAAGTTCTTGTCTTGCTGCAGGTGCCAATGAAGCTGCTAAAGGCAGTGATCCTGATGCTGGGCTTGACGGGGATGGTCGCTGGCCGATTGTCAAAGAATGGGGATAGGATGTGTGTCTACCGGGTGCTTTCCCGAGGGGATGCTTTATTCTGCAAGTGAGTAGAACCCACACGGGTGGAGTGGGGATGGGGGGAAGGAAGGGTCAGGATGGACCCAGGGTAGTGGCAAGATTCTCTGGTTCTAGATGACCTTGGCTGAAGTCCTAGGGGGAAAAAAATATAATCTTAGGGGATCAAGTCACCTTAGCCTAGAACACTATTGAGGCAGCTTGCATTTTTTTCTAGGCCCGAGCAGGGCTTGTTTTCTGAAAGTGGCTGGCTTATATCTCAGCCTCTCTTCTCCCTTCTCTGGTGAGTGGGGAAAGGTGCCATGAACCAGTTAGACAACAATCCCTTATTATAACAAAACTCACTTCTCTGCAAAATAACCTTTTCCCCTGCAAAAGAGGATTACATTTTTTTAAAAGATGACACTAATTAAGCCCTGAACTCATCCCTCCTCTCTCCAAATAAGAACTTAGGCCTAACTATTTTTGCCAGAGAACAGAGCAGTTTAGCATGACCTACGGCCAAACAGGGGGAAGGGCTATAGTTGCAGACATAGGAGACTGGCCCTTACCAGCACACAGACAGGCTGCAGGACCCTGAAATACTGAGGCCAGCACTCTACTTGGGATTTTTAACAAAGATTAAAAGAAATAGACCCGGGCAAAACTCGGCAAGGTCAGCATGTACTTCACGGGCCAAAAAATCTGGTAGAACACAGTCTCCAGAGTGTTTCTTTAGGGTGTTAACATCCCTCCCCCTTCCTCCTCCCTTCCTCCCCCTGCACGGGAGGCCTTGATCTTTGAAAAAGATACTTTACTTTCTGCTGAGCTTTGATTCAGTAAGTGAATTTGCTTATCACAATTTGTCAAGGGGGAAAAGGAATGCGATAGGACAATTCATTTACGCTTGTCTTAATGTACTACTACTTACTTCCCTGCCGGAAGCATTTGGTTTCAAAGGGAAATTAGACAGCAGCTGACTCGCTCGTCCTAAAGGAATGAATTCCTAATTGTGTAATTTCAGACATCTTGAGGAATATTGTTGCATAAGAGACTTTCCTAGCACCCTATCCCCAAGTCATATCACCTGGAGAGCTACCTTCTGCGCCTCTATACAACCCTGGGCCTTTGTACTTTGTTTTATCCATTTTATTTGTTCCTAAAATAATCCGTGCACAGATCAGGCTCTTATAAATCAAATCCTGTTTAAAAATATTCTGTGAGCTTGCTAGAGGTCCCCTGAAATAAATCTTTATTTAAAAAAAAGAAAAGAAAAGAAAAACATGAATAGAAGCAACTGGGTAATGCAGTGGATAGAGTCCTGGGTCTGGAGCCACAAAGACCTGAGTTCAAATCTAGCCTCAGACACTTAGTATGACCCTGGGCAAATCACTTATTCTTAGTCTTGCCTCAGTTTCCTGAACTATGAAACAGGAATCATAATTGAGCCTGTTTCTAGGGTTATTGTGAGGATCAAATGAGATAATATTTGTAAAAAGGGCTTAATACAATGTCTGGCATGTAGTAGGCACAATACAAATGCTTGTTCTATTCCCTCCCCACCTAGTTTGTAAAGCTGGGGGTTTTTCCCTTAGGTTTGAAAATGGAACCTGATTGTTTTTGACTTGGGTTTTTAGAACCGAGACCCATTCTTGGATTCCTAGGCTGCAGCTTTGCAATGCCTCTAACATCTCTGGAAACCCAATGTCCAATGTCCTTCTCTCTCTCTCTCTCTCTGTCTCTTTGCAGGGGCAACCTCCATGTGATCTACCCAGAGATAGGGGATGTTGACTGCATGTATATCCCTGAGTGCAATAACTTCAGGCGGAAGATTAGCATTTGGGATAAACCTTCCATCAAATACTCCCTGGCTAGTGAGGTAAGTGTACCATGTTGGAGGTCATCAGCACTGTTATTGTCACCAGCCAGATCTCGAACACCTGCTTTGTGCAATGTGGAGCCTCAAATGGCTGGATGCCACCTTCATTCCTAGAAACCAATAGAGGCAGGCAAAGCCATAGGCCTCCTTGGGGGAAATGTCAGGGGTTGCAGTGAAGGGTGCTTTTAAACATAACCTCTTACACATACACACTTTTTAATAATACTAGAAAGTCCTTCCCTCTGTGGATCACAGGGATTTTGTTTATGGTGACACCAGACTCATGCATTGTAAGGAAGGTTCAAAGCCTTGGGCAACAAGAAGTTAGGAGGAAGAGACACATTTTGAAATCTAGGGGAGGTACAAAGATTCTTTGCCCTGGATATCCAAATTTTCTGAGACTAGAAGGCCAGGGTGAAGGATTCTGAGAAGCCTATGGTATGAATACTCTGGAAATCAAACACCCCATCCCCCCCTCCCCCTGCCCCACTGGCTCCTTCCTTTTCACCCAATGTCAAGGCCTGGTGAGATAAGAGGCATTGCCTGCCTCAGAAGTTTAGATACAACTTTTAAGGGCTCCAAATTTTTTTTCTCCCAAGAGTCTGCTTGTTGACTTTGTGGGAAGGAAAGTACCTAGAAAGCAGAAATGGGCCAGCCAGCAAAAGATTCCTACCACCAAGAGTGGTATCGCTCTTAATTTTAGAATATAGAAAGCCAAAGTTCTTCACTTTGGTGATATGATGAGAGATCAGGTTTTTCTTATTTTTGTACCATAAGAGATGTGCTCTAATATGATGTAGAGCATAAATTTGATGATTTAGGCCAAAACATTATGAGGAGAAAAAAAAGGGGGCAGCTAGGTGGCACAGTGGATAGAGCACCGGCCCTGGAGTCAGGAGAACCCGAGTGCCAATCTGGCCTCAGACACATAACACTCACTAGCTGTATGACTCTGGGCAAATCACTTAAGCCCAATTGCCCTCACCAAAAAAACAAAAAACAAAAACAAAACATTATGAAGACTTGAAATAATTGCTCCTGCATTAAGGAGCATCATCTTGTTCCCAAAACTGCCCTTGGTTTGTGGGGCAAGGGTGGTCTATGAATATTATAAAACTGAGATATAGCAAAAGATCATTGTGTTTCTGGGAAATGGGAAGATGAGCTGATGCTTCTGGGAAATCTGGGGTGAAGGGACCTTTGTGACCTATTTTAGTGGTCGTGTGGCTTCTCTCCTGAGTGTCATTTCCTTATCTTTTACTTGGTTAGCAAAGGAGTTTGGTAATGAAGAAGAACCTGGCTTTAAAAACTAATTCTGAATGGGGCTGGTTTGAGGCTGAGGGCTCTGGATGCTGGATTGGTCTGTTTGAGAATGCCCTTTGAACTCAAGGATCCCCACTGAGGATAATTAAGTTAACGATTAGGATTATTGGCCAATTGTGTCTCTGGGTCCAATAAGGGGACTAAATTGTCAGAGGACACCTTTAGGGATCATCAGCCTCTACCTCTCAGATCAGAGGATCAGGGTAGATCAAGGATTCACGTGAGGAATGTTTAGTCCTAGAGGCTAGAGCCATACACTGGGGAGTCAGGCCTTTATAGACTTTGGATAACTAGTATCTTTTTTTCCCCCGCTATTTCTGAATGTTTATATTGTTTATCTTCCCAATAAAGGGACACTTATGTGTCAAAGGGTTCAATGTGGAAACTGGAGAAAACCTAGGGTCACTCAATCTTCTTATCCTCCCTCCTCGCCATCCCCAGCCTAGGCATTCTCTTTTCCTGTGGAGAGACTACTAACAGCTCTGACCTTTATCAGTTATATAACACTATAACAATATAGTACTTTGACATCACGGACCCCAAATACAAAAATCTCTCCACAGACATTGGCGCTAGGATCCAGTGTCAACTCAGTTTTGCCAGCCTGTTGGACGTGAGCTGGGCTCATCCACTTCTGCTTGATGCCTTAATGTTCCAACACCCCCCCACACACACACTCCTCAAAGGTACCCCTTTGAACCCCCCGGGGATCCTTGCCCCATTGCCCAAAACATTCCTTTACATTACCCAGAGATGCACACCCACACACCCTTTTCCCCAACCTATATACCAACTTAAAGCCAAACGAAGACTCTTTGTTTCCATATCCTTGCATTAACTAATCACTCTGCTGTCACAGTCACTCAGACCCAGCACTAACTTTATCTTCTGCTCTTCATCACAAACAACCGGGGGTCTCCTCCTTACCAAGCCCCACTAACCAATTACCAGTGTCCCAAGAACATAGCGAAGGGCCTTTTAGAACCCAAGGGGGACTCAACAACCCTGGTAGCCATGGGTCTACCTCACCTCAACTGGAGGGCTGTGGCTCCTCCAAAGTGTTATTGCCCAGGTTCTTGTGGGGGCGACGGTGGGAGACAACCTGCAGGCCTCCGAGGGTCAACTAGGTGGTACAGTGGATAGAGTGCCAGGCCTGGCGTCTGAAAGATTCCTATTTGTGAGTTCAAATGTGGCCTCACACACTTATTAGCTGTGTGACCCTGGGCAAGTCACTTAACCCTGTTTGCCTCCGTTTCCTTATCTGTAAAAAGAGCTAGAGAAGGAAATGGCAAACTGCTCCAATATCTTTACCAAGAAATGGCGAACTGTGTGACCCCAGGCAAGTCACTTAACTGCTGTTTGCCTTGGTTTTCTCATCTGTAAAATGAGCATAATAATAGCACCTACCTTTCAGCATTTTTGCCAAGAAAACCCCAAGTGGGGTCACAAAGAGTCAGATGTGACTGGACAACAGCAATGGGCCTCTGAGCCCGGGGAGCTGAGGGGCTGGCCCTGTGATCAAGAAGGTCAGGAGCTAGGCATCTTGGATCATTGAGATTTAGCTAAGAGTTAAGAGAAATCCTGGGCAAAGGGATGTATAATTTCATTAGTGTCAGGCTACTTCCATTGACACAGATCACAGCTTCCTTGTAATTAGCAAATAAGACTGGGAGCCTCCCAATCCACCTGTCTATGACCACCCTGGTGATGAACCTGTCCTCACTTAACCAGGCTGGTGCTTATGCAGTAGGCATGGCACCTATCACCAAACACATACTCAGCCTTCCCAGCATGAAAGAAGCTTGCCAGAGCTTAGATTCTGCTGGCATAGCCTTTGAAAACTCAGGCTAACCTCCTAGCCGCAATAAAACGTAAGGATAAGATGTTAATGGAAGAGGCTAGTTAGTCCAAAATCAAGGACAAGGTGCCAACTCCCAGCCCCACAGAATAGGCAAGTCAAGAGTCAAGTTTTGAGTCAAGAAGTAAGCCCTCTCATAATCATAATCATAATAATAATAATAGCAGCTAATATTTATATAGTACTTACTACGTGCCAGGCGCCATACTAAGCACTTTACAATTATTATCGCATTTGTTCCTTACAGCAACTCTGGAAGGTAGGTGCTATTATTTATATATTTATAAATATATTGGATAGAAATAAATTTATAAATATATACAAATAAATTTATAAATATATTGGATAGAAATAAATTTATAAACTTATACAATGAGCTTCCTCATTTTACAGATGAGGCAACTGAAGCAAACAGAGGTTAAGTGACTTGCCCAGGGTCACACAGCTAGTAAGTGTCTGAGCCTAGATTTGAACTCTGGTCTCCCTGGCTCCACTCTATCCACTCTACTACTTAGGTGCCCAAATATTTTTTTTCTAATGTTTTAAAGGCAGGAGCACCACGAAGTCTACTCAATTGGAGCAAACTTAGCATAAGCATAAAAGTCAAATGTCTACACTGTGTATGGAAATCTATAATGGTATCTATCTATGCTTCCTATTTTATTCAGTGGAAGGGGCTGAGAGGACTCTATCTTTACCCTCTCCCCAACCCTAGCCCCATGTCTCCTTAGACACTTTTTGGAGCTTTGGCCAGGTTAACTGATTCCCTTCTTTCCATCAACACTTGCTGATGATGGGAAGCATTTTTGGTCTCTCCACATCTACCCCATAAGGAAGCTTGGCATTCCCTGGGAATGAAGTTTCAACTAGCCCTACCCAGAGGTTATGGCTTTGAGCAGCTGCTCAGTGCATCGTATCTGCCCTGGCCACCAGGTAGTGCTGAAGATTGGTTCTGCCAGCTTACTGCCAACTGTGCACTCCAGCCTTCCCTAGTGCCCTGGGTATTTTAAATGTAGCCTAACACATAAATCCAGATATAACTCATCATTCTTATGGCTTAGGGCCCCATCCACTAGGATCTCTTAATTTCCTTACTTCTCAGTGTATCCTCAAAGAATTAAGTCACTTCATATATATGCTAAACATATTTACTGAATGGAAATCAAAAATAAATTGTAACCTCCTTTGAGCAGAGGTATTGCATTTACAACTACCCTTCTCCCTCTCTTGGGCTCTGTCCTTCATTTTCACCACGGATATGGGCACACTCAAAGGAGTTTTATCAAGCAATCTCTATCTCAAGGTCATCACTTCACCATGGTCTAGCAGCTCATTCTTCCACTATGAATGGCCAATGGCAATCACTGCCCCTCTATCTACTCTGCATGCATCAGCTACTGGCCCTAAGGAAATGTCCCTAGGCCATCTATCTATGTGGCCCTTTACAATGTGTCTCTGCATTTCTTTGCAGCATGTTTCAGGCATGTTCAGACATATCTCAGACATGTCCCAAAAGTGTGTCAGTTGCTCAGTAATGCCATGGTGTGTTCTCTGGAAATTCTTCCGCAGCTATCCATGTGGCCGAACAGCTGAGCCTTGGGGGACTAAGTCTAGAAGTCTATATACTACAGAGCTTGGCTCTACCCTTTGAAAAGCTCTTCCAGAGAGAGTGATAGCTGCACAACCAATGGCCACTGCCCTTAGCAAAGTCTTTGAGAGGCAACTAAATGTCTCAACTGCACCTTACTTTAGCATCTAAAGACCTTGAGAGAGTCAGGGGCAACAGACACCTGGTGTGCAGTGAGAGGCTGCCACAGAA